AGCCAGAGAGAGCCAGAGAGAGCCAGAGAGAGCCAGAGAGAGGAGAGGCAGCAGCATTTGGCTTGGTCTTGGTCTAAATGATTATTTCTGTACAAACTCCAGATCCTTCAAAACATCAGAGCACAAATCTGTGTAGGAGATGGGAGTATTTTCAGATTGGAGTGATGATGTGCAGAGACAGTTTGTTCTTCTGCTGTCCTCCTCGTGGATGGGGGTTCATGGTAAATATCTGCTGTTACTGCTACCTCATGGTGGAGTTTCTGTTCTTTGGTCGTCAAGAATCTTCACCATTTTTATAGACAGAAAGAAGTGAAACCATCAGCCCTGGAGCAAAACTCTGTCTTTTACAGGTTTTCATTTACTTGGATTTGAGTTGCATGTTGTTTTATCAATGTGGAGAAACAGACAGGAGTAAAGCAACACTTATGGAATATTTAGAGTCCTACAGTAGGCTGGAAACTAACAGAAGCTCATACACGTCAAAACTGTGATGATATTTGACCTTTCAACTCCTCCTAGTTTTTCACCTGTTCATTTAAACAGCTTTTTCCCATTGACTTCAGTAGTAAAGGGCTTCTCCTGCTGGATTCCTTTTAGCACTTCTGCAGTAAGACAAATAACCACAAGGTGGAGCCAAAGCTATTTTTAACCTAAAACTTTTAAAAAGCTTTTCCTGTAATCAATCACTTCCTAACACTTCAACTCTTCAACTACGTTATGGTTTAACACATTATGGTTTAACCTTTGAACTGCTGCTGCCTTCACACCTCAGACCTGAACAGCCTCAGTCTCAGCTCACACTGTTTCACTGTGAACAGTGTGTGTAACAGTGTGTGTGTGTGTGTGTGAACAGTGTGTGTAACAGTGTGTGTGTGTGTGAACAGTGTGTGTGAACAGTGTGTGAACAGTGTGCGTGAACAGTGTGCGTGAACAGTGTGCGTGAACAGTGTGCGTGAACAGTGTGCGTGAACAGTGTGCGTGAACAGAGGTCAAGAGGACCTTAACCCTGTGCTGATGCAGCTGTAAGACTCAACTTGAGCTCTGAGGACTTGGGTTCAAATCCCGCTCAACACATGCACTTAAATCTTGCATGTTTTATTACCCAGCATGTTGTGCTCTTCACAGCTCAGCCGTTAAACGGGATTCTGTGAGAGAGAAACAAAAGCTGAGGGCTGGTGTGTGTGTGTGTGTCAGCTCGAGTCACACACGTCTCCACACTGACACTGTCCACTCACTTCACATATAAAGTTATCATCAACTGCAGAAATCTAATTGAATATTTTAAAAACCCAAATCATTTAAGAATTCCATGACTCTAAAAGGTGAACTTAATATTTTTATTTATTTGAACTTATTTACAGCAAATACAAGCTTCAGTCCATGAAGTTTTACTCCCGTCTATTTTTCCAAACTAATTCAGCAACTTGGTCACATTTATCCTTAAGAATCTTTCACATCCAACTTCAAAAAGCCAATTTGAACTTTTAAATAATAAAAAAGTTATTTAAATACTCCATCATGACCTTTGACCCCAGGGCTGATGGTCATGTGATGTACTGAGACGGAGCGTGCTCAGTAGTCTCCAAAGTAAACTGTTTTGAAATGTTTTCAAATAGGCCTCTAACCCTCATGTCGCTCGCTTTTATACACTTATTTCACTATTTTTTACTTTTTTTTTTACATTTCTCTGGTTAAAAGTTTGCCCTGAGTTTCACCATGGACTGCTTTAAGTACAAAATACGTCAACAAACACAAAATTATTAAAAAATAAATTTACAAAGAACATAAACGCAGGCCTCTAGAGTAGATTATTACATTGTCATCATTCATGTGAGAAAAACACTGCAAAAAACAATATCCAGCCAGTTAAGAGTTGCACATCTGAAATATTCATCAGAATCTCAGTAGCTTTGACTAGAATGTAGATTTCTTTACTTTCAAAATCTCTAATTTGGTCCAAATGATGAAGTCAACAAAAATATCTTCCAGTATGAAAAAGATTTACTCCAGTGACAGAAAATGTGTGTGAAAAATAAATAAATCTTCAGTCCTAAAGATTGATGATGGAACTTTTCTAATGGAGATGCTTTGCTCAGAATGTAAACTTATTCATCTCCATGGAGACGAGCAGACGACGCCACCAGTCCGAGGTCTGTTTGGCTACAACATCACCAGTGCTTGAGATAGATAAGATTAATGCCATACTGTGGAACATTACAGCAATAACATATCCACTGGAAAAGTGACGTACTGCGCCTTTAAACCAGCTCGGCTCAATAAAGCAGTTATGGGGAGTTATTTGTTTAACCTACCTTTAAGATTGTACCAAAAATGTATATGTATTTGCATATGTATTTTTTTATTTCAAGTAAAATTTAGACATTTATTTATTTATTGAATTATTATTTCAATTCTATTCACTTAATATTGAAATGATGTTTTAAAATGATTCAGAAGATGATCTTAAATGAATGAAATAAGAGAATGAAGGTGCTGATGGAGGATGGAGTGTTGTGCGCAGTTTAACCTCAGTAGATATTGCTGTTTGCAGTGAGGGACAGTGAAGCACGAGGGACACTAGAGTTTCACCAGAGGCTCGGGCAGCGGCCATGTTGCTGTGGGATGACTTTATCCGGAATGTGCAGACTAATAAGACCTGGTCCATTCACATAAATGGGATCAGAATATATTCACTTCAAATCTAATTGGGAAGTGATCAAAATGAATGAGCAACAGAATACTGTCAGACTCAAATTCAAAATAAAAATGTCCCATTCCATTTCTTATTATGATATTTTAATTGTTTATGAGCAAGGTAAAAAAAAAATAAAAAAAATCTGTATTGAGACTAATATAACATTATTAGGTGTAAATTTGACCTTTCCTGAATAGTTTGGAATGGCCTTAAGTCTAAATCAGAACTATTGTAAGACCAGATGAAATAAATATATTTAAAGAAACTACTGTTGTTCTGTGTTGAAAATTAGATTTTGTTTGTCTAAAGAAAGTGTGTTTTTGGTACAGGGTCTTTTTCTTGATTCAAAAGCCCATATACAATTTGAAATTTCAGTATCAGGACCACACTATTCACCCAAAATGGCCGACTTTTGCCCCAGTCCTCTAGTTTAAACTCTGACACGTCCCACCGTGTTTGAACGCATCACTGTAAAACCCAAATGTGAAGTTTTGTTTTCCCAATTGAAAGAAAACAGCTCACACTTTCTCATTTAGTATTTTTCAGGCACTAAAACAGTTGTTAAGGTGACAGTCCAGTGGCTTTTAATCAGCGATTGTTTCCAGTCCGATTGAAGGTTTCACGTATGATTGACTGATCGATCGATTGATTGTTGGTTTGGTTGATTGAACATTTTCACTTTGTTTTGGGAGGAACAGGGCACAGGGCGAACAAGAAGGCACAATTTTCTACGAGAATTTGTTACAATGATAAAAATGAAACCAGTTGTAGCAGTAGTTGTATATTTGAAGCGTTATTGTACATTATACGGCGTCAAATGTCGTCTTTTGTCGTTTTGTTGGTTTAAGATCGGGGTCTCGATCTGGGAAAGCTCGAGTTGCGTTTTTACTCAGAAACAATATTTTTCTTCATAATTAAAACGGCAATTTGTCATTAAATCAACATAGAATTGGACCCCGACCTTCACAGGCTCTGTGCACAGCATCGCGCTAGCTAGCTCACTCTGTCTCAAAGCAAATGCTACATTTTATCTAAAAAACATTTACAGTTTTAGATAAAGACTGTCTGATTGTTTTTATACGTAGTTCAGTTTGTGGCATTGTTTTAAGAAGTGTCTTTCACCCTCAGCTTGATGTCTTCTCCCTCACCTTTATTCATGTTAGCATGACTCAGCAAAAAACCCAAAGCGATACAATGAGACAGGAAGTAGTGATGCTAACAGTGAGCCAGCTGTTCACCCTAGTGCACAGAGCCAGTTAAAGAAGTATGTTTTACACACAAATGCTTCTTTTGAAACCAGTAGCGAGTTGTGCTTTTCAAGATGGTGAAATTTCATGAAAATCTTTGTAAAAAAACTAAAACGATACAAAAATGAACCAAGATTTGACGCACTGAAACCAGTTTATGAGATTATATCTAGATGAAAAATGCCCCAAAAAGTATTATTTCGTAACATGAAGTATGTGATTGGTAAACAGCGAAAACTAAAGGCAATGTCCATTTCCTATGTCTTGAACTAAACTACATTGCAGTAGCTGTTGACGGGCTACATTCAAAAAATTCCCCCCAAACAAAGATAATTTTTTTTATTTCCGTAAAAGTTTTGGTTGAAGAAAGCGTCACGGATCACAGATGACGAAACCAGTGATAGCTCAAAGTTCGATGATTATTTTTGTAGGATTTTTTTGTATTTCGTTATGAAGCAAGTACACTTCTTCGTAGCATCTCCTCGCTGGTCGAATGCAACATCCGAAGTTTGCGAGCTCCGGCCCGTGTTTCCGAATCGCTCTGCTCCCCGTCGGAATAGTATCCATCGGTGTCATCCAAAACGCCGGAGTCTTTAGGCGATTTCGCTGAGTCCATGCTTGCGTTGTGATTGTTGTCATGGTGATTTCGCGATTTGGATTTGCCTTGACGGGACAGACGCATTCGGATCGGGCTGGGGGAGGAAGTGGTGAAACCGGGATGAACGCGATCCCACGGCGCGTCTTCGGAAATATGACAGGAATCCATTTTGGAGACAGGAGGCTGCGGAGAAGGATCCAGACTGCGAGCTTTGTGGTGGTGGTGGGTGAAAGATCTGGAGGAGGACTTGGGTTTGGACCACAGGGACGCGGCGGGAGCCATGGAGGGGCTCGTCCCAGCAGAGGCGAGGGGCGTGTGGGAGGACGAGGAGAGAGATCGGACCCCCGCTTTGTGGTGGTGATGGTGGTGATGGTGATGATGGTGGGAGCCTGGAGGTTTTCGTCCAATCTGAGGTGTTTTCCAGGCAGAACTTTCCATCATGAGGTTCAGAAGGTTCTCCTCACCAGACAGCAGCTGAAGACACAAGACACACATCATTAGGAACTTAACAAGACATAGTATGCATTTTAGTATTCTCATTATTATAACTCCTTCAGATGGTTCTTGGACAGCTCTTCAGTTTGTGGGTTTGCCTCATTTAGAGTTCTTTTATCCACTAGTTGGATCATCTCAGTCAGAACTCGAGTTGGACCTGGTTCCGCCCTCGTTTAGACCTGGTATATTGCTGTTGTAGACCTGGTTTAAATCTGGTGGTACTCAGAAAGCCAAATCTTATCTTTGGTGGTATTTGTGTGAAATGTTTGACAGACACTGGACTGTCACATGTAGATCATGATGTGGTTGAAGTGTCTTGCCTAAGGACACAACAAGTTTTGCAGTACTGTCCAGGCCCAGCCCTGCTGAGCTTCAGAGATCTGATGAGATAAATTTTCAACAAGGAGGAACGGCCACCACTCAATCCCAGCCACACATCTGATCAGAACTGTAAGAAGAACATTGCATCATTTCGACATGTTGATGTCAGAGGACGTCCTCAGAGTTCTCTGGGGAGGGCTGAAGCTCACTGGCAGAGTTCCCACTCTTTTCACTGACAACATTTCAAAACTTTTCCATGACTTTTTCATGAAGTGAATTTTCCATGACTTTACAGCACCTACATGTGTAGAATTGATAAGACTTTAAGGACTAAAAATGAAATGTGAACTCTTTCCACTCACTTTATGCTTTGGGATTATAGTTTTGAACATTCAGAATCCTGTCAGTGCATCGTCTCTTTTAAACAAAAGACACAGACGTTCACAAATAATCAGAACAACATCATGAGAACTTATAGTTGTGTGAGAGAGATACTAAAATTCCATTAATTTTTCAAAACGTTCATCGAATTTACAAAATTCCATGACTTTTCCAGACCTGGAAAATTACATTTTCAATTTTCATGACTTTTCCAGGATTTCCATGACCATGGGGGCCCTGAACTGCTCTGTAAGAAGCTCTCACTCAAGTTAGACTTTAATTTAGTTTTCAGAAAATCTTAAAACTTTTTAGCAGTGCTTGTCGATGTGTATATTTTCACACTGCAGCCTGAAGTGACCCAAATCAGACTTTTTTGCTTCTGTGCTCCTGTATCTGATCTTTTAATGACCATACCATACCATATAATACCACACAGATCAGATATTACATTATACAGATCTGATCTTTTGACAAGTGACTTCAGTCTGAACAATCAGGTCACATTCATCCACCTACACGTCATCAACAAGCGACAAACGTCACTATTCTACGCTGACGTAAACGGAAACTGTGAGAAAGCCACAACCACGGCGGACGACAATGCAACTCCACACCCACACGTTCCTTTCTACAGACGTTGCTGCCACCGCCCCACAAAACACCATGACCAAAAACCTTCTCCTCCTCCTTAAAACAAATCTGCTGTACATGTTGTGGCTCTGGTACGACTGCAACTTTAAACTTTAAACCACTTTAAGTTCACAATGGAGATCACATACAAGTTATATTTAATTGCAAATGTGAACCTGCAAAAAAATCTGATTTGACAAAAAAAAATCTGAACTGAGCATTAAGCCGTGCAGTCTGAATGTAAACTTTGTCACCATGGAAACTGCAGAACATTTCGCCATAGCCATCCAGCATGATGTTGCTGCAAAGTATCAATCCTGGCAAAAAGAGTCAAGTGTCTTCCTCGAGAACAGAACAAAAGTGCAGTGCAGAATCAGATCATTAACCTGTGCTTTGTGGAACTGTCTGCACAGAATCCAAACAACTGTTCCTGTCCTGAAGATCATGCGTCACAATTTGTCTAAAGAATTGATTTATTCCTTGTATCCGGTTTCTATCTAAACACAAGTTTGAAATGAGTGGAAAGTTCCTGGTTCCTGTTTTCTTTCCTCAATAACAATGCGGTTTGGAGTCCTGCTGAGCGACGCTGCCAATCAACACACCAACAGCACTTTCCTGGAAAACATAACACTGCTTTGGTTCTGAATCTAAATACAAAGTACAGAGCTCCAGATCAGATCTATGGAGGGACGCCTGTCTGCGGGAGGTGTTTTTCAAGATTTTTTGAGCCCAAGAACCAACTAATCAAGATTCACGGACTCAACCAGGACTAAACAACTGAATAAACCAAAAACTGATTCAGGACGAAAAGAAGACTAAACCAAGAACAAAACCACGACTAAACTAAGAACTAAACCAGTACTAAACCAGAACTAAACCAAGAACTAAACCACAAACTAAACCAAGAACTAAACCAGAGCTAAACCAGGAACTAAACCAAGAACTAAACCAGGACTAAACCAGAACTAAACCAAGAACTAAACCACAAACTAAACCAAGAACTAAACCAGAGCTAAACCAGGACTAAATCATTCAATCATTCTTTGTAATGTTATACTTGAAAATACTTGAGTACTTGGACTAGGCGAGTACTCCCCACCTCTGCCTGAACCCTGATGTGTTGTGTGTGCAGTTACCTGGTCTGACAGCAGGGTGGCGCTCTTGTCCCAGTGTCCGAGCATGTGGTCAGCAGTGATGTGAACTGACTGAGCCAGCCAGCTGTCAAACAGAGAGCTCTGCAGGGGGAAGGAGGCCGACAGACCTGAAACACACACCAGGAAGACTTGAACTGGACGAAAACAAGTGAATCATCAGCTGAACCTTTACATCAACATTCCCTGGGGGTGGTGCTACCTGTAGGCACTGCTCTGTCTGAGGCTTTGTTAGAATTCTGCTCTGAGCTTTATTTCAACACAATCTGACCTGAAAGAGTTGGTTTACTTTGAACTACAACAGATGAGATGATTTGTGCATTAACCAGAACTTTCTCAGTGAGCCACTCTCACCTTTGTGTTGAAAATTACACTTCTAAACAGGACCATGACTGTTCGCACTGATCACAGGCTCCTGAAAATCTGCTCTTCAAATTTTGAATTTTTTGTTGAGTTTTCAGACAATTTCAAATCTTTTTGTCAGTGTTTGCTATAATGTGTTCATTGTGTCACCATTAAGGCTGGCTATCATTAACCCAGTGTGGTTTTAGTAGAAGCTTTAAGTTTGCTGAACTTATTGAGTCAAAATGTAAATATTGATATAATATAGTTTAGATACAACATATAGTTCTCAAATATCTTTCTCTCATATCATGTGGGCCTTATTAAATGTATCAGACTACACACTGCATTCATGTTTACTCTGTGTCAGGCTGCATCATAATTTGATGGTCATACAGATGTCGACAAAATTGTTGGTACCCCTCTGGTAATAAAAGAAAAATCAACAGTGGTCACGGAACTGAGAAAAACAATAACCAATAAAAATCAGACACTGTTTTTGAATTGTTGTTTAACATAATAATTTTAAAAAACAAACTAATGAAACTGGCCTGGACAAAAATGATGGTTCCCCTAGAAAAGATTGTAAATAGTTGAACAATAGGGACATGTTAAACTTGGGTGTGTCTCTAATCTGCGTCACAGGTTCTTCAAACTTGTCCTCAGTCAGTCTGTCTGTTTAAAGGGCGAGATGTGTCATTGTGCTGTTTGGAAACATGATGGACACAACACTGAACTTGGACCAGAGAAAGAGAAGAACAGAACTGTGTCAGGAGACTAGAAAGAAAATAATAGACAAGCAGGTTAAAGATAAAGACAATAAGACCATCTCCAAGCAGCTTGATGTTCCTGTGATTACAGTTACACATGTTCTTCACAAGTTTAAGGTCCACAGGACTGAAGCTAACCTCCCTGGATGCGGCAAAAGAGGAGAAACTGATGACAAATTCAAGAGCTGGATCATACGAATGGAACTAAAGAACCCAAAACAACCTCCAAACAAATGAAATGTGAACTGGAAGAGCAAAGTACATCAGTGTCAGATTACACCATCCATCACTGTTTAAGCCAAAGTGGACTTCATGTGAGGACACCACTGCTCAGAGAAAATCATAAAAAAGTGAGACTGAAATTTGCCACGATACATACTGACAAACCACAAAGCTTCTGATTTACTACCAATGACACGCTCCAGTACCTGTATAATTTAAAAAAACAGGAAAATGACTAACTAGAACAAGAGCTGGTCAGTCCCAATGAAGTCATAGAAAAGTCTGATGAAAAAGACTTGAAGTTGCAAAAACCTACTGCTACTCTCCAGAAGAAGGAAAAGCAACTACAAGACCAAGTGAATGCACATGAGAAGATCCACTACCTGTATAATTCTAGAGCACAGGAACATGTGCAAGAAGAGTTTGCCAACTCCAAAAGAGTCAGGGAAAAACGACTTGGAGTTGAAATAGCTCAAAGCTTAACTCCTGAAAAAAGAGAAAGAGCTGGAAAACCAAGTTAGTGTGTACAAGGAAATAAGATGTCTGTATAACAAGACAGACACTGTCCAGCTCAAACAAGAGCTGCACGACAACACCAGGAAAGTCCATGAGAAGTTGAAAGAAAAACCTAAAGAACTTGCAATGGAGACTCAAAACACTTGTCATGATGTTGGTGGAGATCAAACCAACAAAGAAAATGAGAAACTGTCCAGGAAGGTGCAGGAAGTGTCTTCTGAACTCTTTTCAACTCGACAGGAGCTGTGTCTCCTGAAGCTTCATGGTGATCGTGAAAGAGCACAGAGATCCAGCCCAAAAGGAGCAGCTGTAGTGGAGCAGCAGTGGAGGGGCCATGACCCTTTACATGCATTCATAAAAATAATGATGAAAATATTTAAATGTGTGCTTTGGCCTTTATTCAGTACTTATTCATGTTTTATTGTTTTTGTCACATTGTTTCATTCACAGGTCATATAGCACACGGCACAGGCTTGTTATTTATGCAGAAATGTGTAAAGTGGATGTACAAAAAACAATATAATACATTAAAATGGAAATAAGATTGTTCATTTTTTCCCCTCTAAACTATGATTTACTGCCTGTTGGAATCACATGTAATGAGAGAAAGATACAGCTGAACAATAGATCTGAAACATACTAATACGGCAAATAATCAATAATCACAAAAATAAAAATACTACACAAAGTTCCCCATTTGAAAAGAAATTCGTTTTTTGATGCGTAGATACGAAAATAGTAGATTTTATTCAGTTTTCTTATTGCATACTCCTTTAAGAAGATGCCGATACGATACATATCTCGATACATAAGCCACGATACGATACATCTCAATTCGATACTATAGATTTTAAATTGATTCGATACAGTTCAGTCAAAACAAAAGTTAAATCATGGCTGTGATACTAAAAGTCTTTGTTAAACAATTTCGTGTGCAAAGTTCATATGAAACACAAAACTGTAGCTGGAACAAAATGATTTAGTAAAATATACTAAAATACTCGATATATCGATACAGCAGCTCACGATATTGATACTGTATCACATTAAACAATACAATATTTTTGCACACCCCTGGTCACCATGGTAACTGATGAACATGCTGCTATAAAGGTAAACATGTAGAACACCCCCAGAGTGATGTCACTGCAAACTATGAACAGACCTGGTTCATGTGACACCAAAACATCATCAACTTTAGCTTTTAACAGATTTGTTGACCTGGTTTATTGTTGGCACAAAGTTCAATTCAAAGAAAGTGTATCTAACTTTTCTCTAGTTAAGAGCATCACTAAAACAGCACAAAATCAGACACTGCACTGTCTGCTGCTCATAACAAAACACTTTATCCACTGCAGACTCAGCCGGCCGTGCGCTGATTGGCTCTGAGGGTTTGTGCTCACAGCTGATTGAAATCCACACTGACTCTGCAGAAATCTCTTTTGTTTTCAGTCCCTTGTCAGATTTTTTTCTTTCTCCTCGTAAGCAGTCATATTTGTTTTGATACAGACTGACTACGTATGTCCCTGATTGGCTAATCCACCTGTCAATCACACCCATGTGACCTCGGGGAGCTTCACTGGTGACCGGACTCACAGCTTTACAAAGCACCGAGGAAGTGTGTGTTCTGTTAAGCACATTAATAGAACACACACTTAACTAAACAATAAAAAAGTGAGCTCATCTTACAAGAAATGTCATTTAAAAAACACTCCTCTGCATGATGTAAACTTATAAGATATGTTTATTTTGTAATTCCAAAGGAGTCAAACAAAGAGCTGTATGTGGCTCAGAGCTGGACAATGCTCAGCTCTGACTTTAAACCATAGTAAGCGCGTAAAGTCAGTCAATAAATAGGCTGGTTGCTATGGAAACATTTGTTGCAAAAAATCACTGACCAAAAATATAGTTAAAAATACTCTGAGTACTCTGAATACTCCTGGTATTGTCTAAATGTATTTCTATAGTCCCAAAACGTCTGAAATAATGCACCAGTAACACCTGTCACATTTAGTAGTGACAAAAGTTTAGAAATCTTGAAAATTCACAGTCTATTTTGCAAATGGAACGTGTGATTTGTTATTTTCGGTGGAAACATTTGCAGCTGTTCCTTGTAATGATTTTTCAGAGGAGAACGGCAGGAGGTGCTGTTTGGAAGCATTTAACAGCAGCGAGCATCACACACACAAACCAACACACACACCAACACACACACACACCACAGACACATACACAAACACACACATACACAAGCCAATACACAGAAATACACAGAAAGTACACACTCGCTCACTGTTTTCATGACGCAGCAGGAATGAACAGAGCCGAGAGGGAGGGGGGCGGAGGTGTGGAGAGAGAGAGAGAGAGAGAGAGAGAGAGAGAGAGAGAGAGAGAGAGAGAGAGAGAGAGAGAGAGAGAGAGAGAGAGAGAGAGAGAGAGAGAGAGAGAGAGGGCAGGTGACGAAGGGAAAACAGGAGACATGCTGAGGAGAGAGAGAGAGGATGAAGGAAAAACAAGCGACAAGCTGAAGAGGAAGAGAGAGGAGAGAAGGAGAGATGGAAGGTACATAGAGAGAGAGAGAGAAAGAGCGATGAGAGAGAGGAGAGATAGGGGATGAAGGAAAAACAAGAGACACGCTGAGGAGGAAGGGGGAGGAGAGAAGGAGAGAGGAAGGGAGATAGAGAGAGGGAAGGTGCATAGAGAGAGAGATGGGGGGGGTAGATAGAGAGAGAGGAGGGGGGAAGGGAAGGAGGAAGATGTGATGAAGGGAAAACAGGAGACACACTGAGAGGAGAGAGAGAGTGAGAAAAAACGAGATAGAAAGAGAGGAGGGCAGGTGATGAAGGGAAAAACAGGAAACATGCTGAGCAGAGAGAGAGAGTGGAGGGGGGCTGGAGGAGAGGTGTGAGAGGAGGGAGGGCAGGTGACGAAGGGAAAAAGAAGAGAAACGCTGATGAGAGAGAGAGAGAGAGAGAGAGAGAGAGGAGAAAGAGGGTGGGTGGCGGAGAGAGTGAAAGAAAGGTGAGAAGAGAGGAGAGGAAGAAGGATGGAGAGAAAGAGAGAGAAAGGATAACACAGGTAGAAGAGAGAGAGATCAAGGGAAAACAAACATGCTAAGAAGAAAGGAGAGGGGAAGAGGGGAGGGGTGGAGGAAAAAAGAGGGAGAGAGAGAGGAGAGAAAGATGGAGGGGATTGGAGGAGAAACTACTGACAAGCTGAGAAGAGAGTGAGAGAAAAGAGAGAAAGAGTGAGAGGAGGGG